AATTATCTAGCCTATATTACACTCTTTATTATCTCAGTGGACAGTGAATTTACTTTATTTAACACAAAAAATGCAAAAGTAACAAACATTAATTTCAGCTTTCAATAATCTGTAATGTTAAGAGATCTTTTATATGGCATGCATAGCTCTGGGGTCAGAAAGTTCTGAGAATATAATTCTATATTATTATTCTATATATGTGTTTTTTAAAGAAAAAGAAGGTGAAGGTTATAAAGGCTGTTGTTGAATGCAGAACAAAACACTTGCAAGGCCTGAAAGAGATCAAGCCTCAGCCAGGTAAGAAAAAAGTAACGCAAAAGTAATGTAACGCATTACTTTCCATAAAAAGTAACTAAGTAACGCAATTAGTTCCTTTTTTGGGGGAGTAACTCAATACTGTAATGCATTACTTTTAAAAGTAACTTTCCCCAACACTGGTTATACAAGCTGTACACTCACTACTTTACATTGTAGCAAAGTGTAATTTCTTCAGTGTTGTCACATGAAAAGATATAATAAAATATTTACAAAAATGTGAGAGGTGTACTCACTTCTGTGAGATACTGTATATATTAGGGGTGTAACGGTACACAGATGTCACGGTTCGGTACGTACCTCGGTTCGGTGGTCACGGTTCGATACGATTTCGGTACAACAGGGGGGAAAAAAACAAATCTACTATGCTCGGTTTCTTTTCATTTATTTTGAACAGACAGTAGTACAAATTAAAAAAATTTCCACCTAGATGTGAAAATACTAAATATTATTACATTGTTATATATATAAAATCTGCAGTACATGTATAAATACAAGGAATAAATTCTTGAAATATAATTGATTTAGTTTACAGATAAACAAGGGAAAAAACAGTGACGCGTAACGTAGCCCATATACACTGAGTTTCAGTTCATTTTTGTGACCGGCTTAATTTGTTCACAGAACGGAAACTCAAATGGACGGAAACTCAAAATGAAATTTGTTTTCTTTATTTTACAAAAGCACAATGTTTTATTTTCATTGTGAGTGTACACAAAGAAAAGCAGAACTTTATACAGTGATGCATTATTAACAAGACAGTAAGTGTTTAAAGTTGATTCTGCTGGTATAAGGAAACAGTTGAAGTGATCGCGCCGGCGCACGCACACACACACAAAACACATCAGTTCCAGCATTGCTAACTTGACAGTGCAGTTGGTACTTTATCAAAAGAAAATACAGTGAACCAAACATCAACGCGCCCGCCTCTGTGTCACTGCTGGAACGCGACTGAAGTACAAAGCCTATAATTTACGTAATAAATAATAGTTTAGCATTCAGATAGGTTACATCGCAAATATGGAAATATTATGGTATATTTGGATTTGTGCCGAATGCGAGAGGTAGGATACACGAGCGCAAAGCTCCATTTCGCAAACAGTTGAGTGCACAAGCCTTTAAAGTATACTCCTTTGTCAGTCTGTGAGAGACTGTGTATATATAATTTTTTATTTTATTTATCTTTTCTTTTTAAGGAAATTAATGTTAGTAATCACTAATCAGCAAGGATGCATTAAATTGATTGAAAGTTATATAAATTATATCACAATATTTCAAGAATATTTGCGATAACGATATTTATGACGATATAGAAAAAAAACCATGGAACAACGTTTTATTGGTGATTGCAGCTGGCAGGCAGCAGCATTTTTTCCATCCAGCAACTGTCATCGATGACAGACTACCTAATTTGAAGTGTAAATCTATTGTCGTAAGTGTGTTCGACTTGAAGCAGACCGATCGGTGTATGACGTCAAAATACCGTGAGAGTGACTTACCCCTTATTACACTGCACGCGTCTGTGGCGCGTTACAGTTCTGACGCGGCCACTCTAGTCAATGCTTGTGTTTACACCAGCGGAGCCGCGGCACGTTCCAGAAGCGGCTCTCCACGCCACTTCGCTAAAGATATGCGCCTCGCCTATTTTTGAAGGTAAGAGTGTGCGCTTGAATGTGCTCTAGAACCGCTCTCGCAATACTTTGATGTCATACACCGATCAGTCTGCGCAGCGCTGCTTCAAGTCGAACACACCTACTGGGTTTGTGGTGGTGATGTTGTGCGTGCTAGGGAACGTATATCCGCCATACATCATTGCGTCGCTATATCATTGATATCGCGATATGACACTTTTTTTATCTTGTAAATATTTATACCGGTATTATCGTGGACGGTATGATATGGCACACCCCTACTGTAAAGATATTTATAATGTTACAAAATAATTGCTTTTTTTCTTTATCAGGAATAAAGAGTAGCAGCCCTTTTCCTTAGTTATTGCTTAGTTTTTTAGTGGTTTCTCGCAACCCTTCTAGTCCTTCTTCAGTGGTCCTGGCCTTCATCAGCAATACCAATGAGTTATCATTTCCGCTAATGGACCAAACCCAGCCATCATCTGTGCCCGACCAATTCATCTCCTCAAGTGTCTGTCTGGAGTGTGTAAAGTAGGCAATTGAATGGATCAAGTTAGAGTGGAAGGTGGGTTTGTAACTCTGGGTCTCGTTTGCCCTTCTGTGGTGTTTTATCTTTTAACCTCAATTAGAGAATGGTGGGACATTCAAGGAAAAAAATAGTAATTACGAGCGGGAATGACTGCCGCCGTGTCGAGTATTATCTGAACGCTTCAGTTTGAGTTGAGTCTCAAGGGTAAGGTTTTTTTGTATTATTGAATTATGCGAGGAAGAGGTTTTCGCTCAGTTATAATTCATTACAAGGGTCTGAACTCTGAACTGTAATGATTATTCGATAGGAGTGATTGGAGTTTAAAGCTAGTGCTGTTCTTTCTTTGGCAGTTTATTTTGTAAAGGTTTGTCTGAGTCTGTGCTGTAATGCAACAAGTTCTGGCAGTGTGATTAGGGTGAGGATGGATACTGAACATTGTGGACCTGGATGAGGGAGTGTTCGTATATGGAATATGAGGGAAGAGCTTTGCCTTCATCTGCAACTGGTCACTGATTTGCCTTGATGACCTGGAATGTTCTTTTAAGAAAATTTCAAAATGGTGTGTGTGATTCTCAAAGTATTTAGTGTAAAAACAGATTTGTGTGATGCATGCAGACCAAAGGGACTGGAACTGTTTGGTTTAGTTTCAGGTCTTATTGTGAACAATTCATCAGTGCACATTATTCTAAAGGTAAAAATATAATTTTTATCAAATGAGAAACTTCTGAAATGCCTTTTCATTGTACTCTACCTTTTAAAAGTTTGGGGTTGGTAACTTTTTTTTTTGAAAGGAGACTCTTACCAAGACTCTTACCAAAAATACATTAAAACAGTAATATTCTGAAATATTATTACAATTTAAATAACTTTTCTATTTTAATATATTTTAAAATGTGATTACTGTGATGACAAAGCTGAATTTTCAGCATCATTACTCCAGTCTTCAGTGTCACATGATCCTACAGAAATCGTTCTGTTATGCTGATTTGCTGGGCAAGAAGCATTTATTATTATCAATGTTGAAAACAGTTGTGCTGTCATGATACGTTTTTTCTTTCTTTCCCAGGATTCTTTGTTGGATAGAAAGTTCCAAAGAACAGCACTTCTTTGAAATGGATATAATTTGTAACATTATAAATGTCTTTAATGATACAATCAATTTAATGCTTAATCTTTGCTGAATAAAAGTATTAATTTCTTTAAGAAAATCTTACTGAACTCAAATTGTTGAACAGAAGTGCATATAGTATTATTTTTTACATTAATAATAGTTTTATTTTTAAATTTTTGCCACAAATACTTTTGTGCTGAAATGGCTTTTAAAAAATTAAATGACATGATCCAAAGAACAGCAGTTATTTGAAATAGATATAATTTGTAACATTATAAATGTCTTTAATGTCACTTTTGATCAATTTAATGCACCTTTGCTGAATAAAAGTATTTCTAAATTTCTAAAAAAAAATTACTGTCCCCAGATTGTTGAACAGTAGTGTATATATTATGGTTTAATAAATTATTATTATTTTTTTTTCATACTGAAATGACTTTTAGAAAATAAGTTAACATGAGCTTTATCATGCTTCCCAAGAAACTTCAGAAAATGTTTACAAATTGTTACATTTATTTATTTTTTCATACCAGATAGTAGCTTTCTGCAAAGAAATCTCTGTTTGCATTTTATATGAAAAGCACAGATCCATCAGGGCCACCCGGTGGGATGACAGTAACACCCTAGTGCCTGTCAGAATATATCAGCTTCTCCCATCTCATCCAAATTGTATTCATTCTGTAATAATTAGGTCATAAATGGCAGGCATAATAAATACAAACCTTCACACTGGTCGTTGTTGTTTGTCTCTGCTGCGCAAATGATGCATGTCTCGTGGTAATGCAGACCGCCAGACATAAATAGAAAGGGAATTTCAGTCATGTAGAGAGCAGAAGTGGGTAAAGCGGGAGAAGAGGGTCTTTCTTAGCCTCTACATTGCGTCATTTCTGGACTGGTGAGCTTCAAAAGCTGAGAGGGCGAATAAGATGCTCATTGTGTAATCGTGAGCGGCATGAATAGCGATTGAATGCAGGCCAAGGTGATGTTGGGGGCGGGATGCACTTATGCACAGTGGGAGTAGTGAAATGGTGGTTGTATCTATTGCTGGAGAGCTTTTGAAGGCCAAGCTGAGAAGTTTAGACCACCTCATTAAGCCATAAGACAATAAAACGGTGCAAAATAGTAGTGTTCTGGATCTAAAGGCCATTTATAGCTCCCAGAGGGATTTAATTCTCACTGACGCTATAGCATTAAAACAGTTCTGTCTTTGTGTCCATCAATAAACACAAAAGCTTTCTTGGCTGCCACTTCCTTCTGATTTTTTTAAGATGCTTCTTTTTCATCCTCTCCTGGAGGTGAAATTAGGACGCTTCCCATGACTTGGACTCATGATTTTTTTTTTCTGTCTTCCAGACTCATACAAGATATTGATTTATTCATGATGGTCTTTTTCTGTGTGTGTCATATTTTGCAGAATGAATCTCGTATTCTTCGTGTCAAGGTCATTGCTGGCATTGATCTGGCGAAGAAGGACATCATTGGTGCCAGGTAAGGAAGAACTAAAGGATGCGTCCGGAGAGACGGTGCACTATCGCACCTGTTCAATCTGTTCGCTCATTCATTAGCAAATGCAAATGTTGGAACCTTTTGGATGTGTGTGTGCGCATGAATGTGTTTGTGTATTTCCTCCTTTAGTTATGTGCCTGAATAAGTGAGCTGCACTCTGTGAGTCTTTCTCTCAATTTAGACAATAGACTTATCCAAACAAATGATCTGTCTGCCAGGAAAGGCGCACAAAGGGAAAATGCTTGGCTGATCTCATTTGTGCAATGTTGCAAGTTCTTTTTATTTAACTTTGAAGTTCTCAGGTTCTAAAGTCAGAGGTCAGAGAGTGCGTAAATTACTGACAGTGTCATTTCTAAACATATCAGTTAACTTTTTGAATCTTGTGTGTAAGTTTGATGTCAGATGGGCATTACAATAGATTGCATAAAGCTTATATATATATAATTTTTTAGGCCATTCACAGAATTTCATGCCGACTTTGCACTAGGGTTGAAACCTTTCCTGAAATTATAGCAGTCAATATTAAATGAAACCAATGAAATTCCTTGATTTCTAATACCAATTTTGATACTACAGCATAAACCGCTTAAAGGGGTCATATGATGCGATTTCAAGTTTTCCTTTCTCTTTGAAGTGTTACAAGCTCTCTTAAACTTCAAGGGAATAAAGTTGAATGGAATTTAATGAATTAATTTCGCTTCGGAACATTCATTCACGGATTTGCGGTACTGTCTTCACACACAGACTAAACTTACTAGAGAAGTGTGAAGTGTGACATAATATACCTCTGTAAATAAATATTATTTAAATTTACGTTACGTCTCGCACACTTTAATGCCCTTTGTAACCCCCGGGATCACTTGATCAGTTGGCGCCGGACCGTGAATTTAACCACCGTAACTCCATATCACCGTAACGGGGGTGGTCTCATTCGAAAGCGGGCTTCTAGACGTACACTCGATTCGCGTTGGAGAGGGTTCCTCGAGCTGAAGGGATCCCCCGAATTTGGTGCGGATTCGCCGCGCCATTACGCAGATATGGCCGTTCAAAGTTTCAATGGTTTTCCATAGACTTGAGCTGTAAAGCGTTTCATCCAGGTCGCCAGTAGCAAACAATGGAGCGCGCTCTGCTGGACAAACTAAGTAATTACACCATTTCAAACATTTTATCTGCGTTGTATGTTCTGTAAATAATTTTTCATATTGGTGGCATATTCGGTGACAGGCTCATATCGGCCGATAATATCGGCAAAACGATATATCGGTCGGGCTCTAGTTTGTACAACAAAAAACGGTGAATTACAACAAAAGGACTTTCATACATGCACATATTAAAGTGAAAGTGATGTGACATGTGGCCAAGTATGGTGACCCATACTCGGAATTAGTGCTCTGCATTTATCCCATCCAAAGTGCACACACACAGCAGTGAACACACACACACCGTGAACACACACCCGGAGCAGTGGGCAGCCATTTTTTTGCTGCGGCGCCCGGGGAGCAGTTGGGGGTTCGGTGCCTTGCTCAAGGGCACCTCAGTCGTGGTATTGAAGGTGGGAGAGAGCGCTGTACATTCACTCCCCCCACCTACAATCCCTGCCGGTACGAGACTCGAACCCGCAACCTTTGGGTTACGAGTCCGACTCTCTAACCATTAGGCCACGACTATTAGGCAATAATCAGCTATAAGAGTTTACAGTTATGGCCCTGGAAATGCCTGGCAATGTAATTTGTAATTGTCTCAGTGTCAAAATGCAGTGTAATTTTACTACTACTATTATTGTTATTTTTATGGGGATTATGGGAATTTTGACATCCCTACTTTGGACGTTTGTAAGTTGTTTATACCATACAATTGTAAAACATTTGCAGAACCTAATACAAATGTAGCTTTAAACGCTGCTAAGATGCCTAAGAAAATTGGGTTTTGTTTTGTTTTCATTTTAACTTCAGACTTGTCTTGTAAGAGGCTCAGGGCAGGTTTGGTATCAAATTAACCTTTGATACCAAACCATTTAAATTCTCAGAAGGCTTAACAATTGACACCTAGTCACAAATCTCTGAGTTGAACTTCAACTTCTAAGTGGAGGAGTCTGGTGCTTGGCCCTCTGTAATGCGTAATGACTCCGATAAATACAGCCTTATCTGCTGTTCCCCACTCTATTGCATAATGGACTTATATTTGTTTTTTCTGCTTAATAGACCAGTGTATTTCCTTCCTTTTTTCTTTCACAGTTAGTAACCTCATTTAGTCCAAGACAAAGTGCCACAATCACTTAGCTTAGAGTATTCTATTACTTAGCTAAGTTACTATAAAAATAAGAAGACTAGAAAATTTTAAGATTTTTTAAAATGTTTTTAAAGGAGGCTCTTATGCTGACCATGGCTGCATTTATTTAATTAAAAATACAGCAAAAACTGTAATATTGTGCAATATTATTACAACTTAAAATATCTGTTTTCTATGTTAAATATTTATTTTTATTTATATATATCTATTTATTTTTAAATGTTTAATTTATTTGTGCTGCTTAATATTTACATTTACACATTTTTTTCCAGATTCTTCGAGGAATAGAATGTTAAAGGAACAGCGTTTATTTAAAATAGAAATATTTTATAATGTCTAAACTGTCACTTCTGGTCGAATTAATGTGTCCTTGCTGAATAAAAGCATTAATTTCCTTCCTCCTAAAAAACTTTACTAAACCCCACTCTCATGTGAAAAACTTAAATGTATATCAGAGTTGTAATGTGTGGTTACTGTCCCTGAGGATGCAAACAAGAGGGCTTTAACAAATGTTAACCTTGGCTAATTGTCAAAATTGGTGCTACAACAAATTGGTGGTAACTTGATAATAGCACAGTCTCTTTAAAGTGAGTCAGTTCATTTAGCGGGCATCTTGGCAATACCACCGGGCAGCTATTTTCTTATAATGTGTGTATAGTAACCGTTGTGCTGTGGAAACTCTTGCGAGTGCACATTTGCTGCATAGGGTTAGGGTGAACCTTGGGATAGTTTTGTAACACAATCAAATGCAAATACACGTTCTACATTAAATATAACAGGCCATGCCACTGTCAAAAAGGCAACTTGTTCTTTTTACTGAAAAGAGGAACTTTGTTTCTGTCATACAGAGCAATGATTTCTCAGGTTCATTTTCTATATGTACACACTAAAAAATGCTGGGTTGTTTCAAGTCAACTTTGGGTCAAATATGGACTAACCCAACCATTGGGTTAAATTTTTACATTAAATGTTTAACCTAAAAGTTGGGTTAGTCCAAATTTGACCCAAAGTTGGGTTGAAATAACCCAGCATGTACTATAGTACGCTGTCTTAAAAAAAGCATTAAAAATAAACATTAAACAGAACATTTGCTGCAAAAGCCAGTTTTTGATTCAAACGGGAAGAAATTTATGTCTGGAATGGCTTGTATTTGTCTTACTCATTTCGCTCTCTGTTTTTTCTTTCTTTCCGTCTCTCTTGCTCCTGTGGTGTAGACGTCACAGCTCCTTCTGTTCTAACTATGCTGATCTACTGTAGGCTCCATCAGACCTGTCTGCTCCAATCACGGAGTCCTGGAGAGTGTGTGTGTGTGTGTGTGTGTGTGAGAGAGAGAGAGAGAAAGAAAGAGAGCGCATTCACCTGTCAGCATGAGTGTTTGTGTATCCCAACATCCTATTGGCCATAGATACACATTCTAATATCATTATGGATATCTCCTCTATAGGCAGATTGCTTGACGGCACGAGTCTCTTTCTGAGTCTGGCATGTTTGGTTCATGAGGACTGTGCTACATCTGTGCTAATTAAAGCAAAAGACATGCAGCTGAGCAAATGGACGCCACAAGGCACCATCACAGATGTTTGAACAGAGAAAGTGTGGAGGATTTGATAGGCCAAAATCTGTAGACTCCACACAGAACGTCTCCCTCATTCTCATTCACCTAGACGACCCACTCATGTAATGAATAGCAAAATATACCTTAGAAAACAATTTATCTTTTATTTTTATTTATTTTTATATTTTAATTTATTTATAATGTTTTTAATAAAAGTCCATAGCACAACAGCACTGTAATTTAGGGGAATATAGTTATTCCCCTTGTGTAAAAGCCTTAAATTTGTTAACATCCGCGAGTAATTTCTGGACGTTTTGGCTACGCTGGAGCCGGTCCCTCAGAGAGCCTCCCCTCTGTAAATGATAGCAAAAGCTGACCTCTTATTAAAGAAAAAAATAATAGAAAGGGAAGTAGCACGAAATACGGTCTCTTTCAGATTTAAACTCGATATGAAGCATATTGCTTAAATTTGTTTTGGCAGAAGGTTCTGCAGAAAAGTGAGTTTCCTGTTTTTGAAAAGTTTTTGGGAGATTTTTTGATTAGTGCTTGTTTGGCTATATAAACCATGTTAGTAAAGAGCTAAACATTGTTTCACAGCTTTTACTTAATTGGCATGGGCTTTATTTTGTTTTATTTTTTTATTTTATTTTATTGTATTTTATTTCTTCTTGCGCTAATCTGAACAAAACACACAGTCTTAAACTCTGTCTTAAACTCTCTAGTTCATAAAACCCTGTGTTGCCATTTGACAACAGATTGCTATCACCCTTGAAAGTCCTTGAAAATGTCAATGAAGCTGCAGTTTTTTTGCACATACAGTCGATAATCCTGTTCACCTTTAGTTTACTTGACTTGAATCAGTTGAGATGGTTTCTCTGCCTCAGAATCCCCTTTTGATTTGTATTTCCCTCAGTTCCCCTCTAATTTCTGCTTTTTGCACGCAATCAAGTACCGAGCCAAGTCCCCAAGTCGCTCATCTCTATGGTAACGGTGCACACTGTTAGTGTCCCTATGACACCTGAGCGGCTCTTTGACCTTTAACGTTGGAAAATGGGACAGTGATTTGAAAAATCAAAGATCCAAGAAATTTCAAAGCAATTTTTCCAACTCTCACCTTTGTCTTCAGGCTATTTTTAGAATGATTTAGCCATTTTTGTCAGTTTTTTAAAATGTTTTTATATTTATACACTTTACTTTTACATCTGCACGCATAAATGTGTCGCGCATCACATTTTTTGATCTTCTCCTGGAAATTACATTTCCTTTTATAGCCGGAGAACATCCATCTGTTCAAAACGTATAATATGTTTACAAAGGCGAGAACGTCCAATCTCAAAAGTGGTATATTGTTTTATCCTAATCAAGAAAGCGAATCCTTGTATAAACATTCAATTAGAGGCAACAGGAAATCCAGACACTGCAATTAAAAACCAGAGAAGGCCGTTTTCAGCTGCACAACAGTCTAAAGAAAAGGAAAGGAAGCAAAACAACTGTTCCAGAAGCCAGTGAATGAAAAATGCTGAGCTTGACTTTCAGGCTAAAGCCTAATTTGCATACTTCTACTGATTAAGTACTGTGCTGTTGATGGTAAATTGCATGGTTTTAAGAATGTCATAAGCTAACGTGTCAATATTGGATTGCTGTGATATCATGAAGTTGTTTCCAAATGACATTAATTTAATTGGTAATGGCAGTTCGAGATTGGAAATTGGGATTCGACCATTCTTTCGTGTAGGGGTGTGCGATATCATGATTTTTGATCGTGGATGATCTCCACAATCTGCTTTTGAAGAAATATCGTAGTATCGCGCTACAGCGCACATTCTATCAGTTGCAGTTCTGATGCCTCTGTCTCAATATACTGTACAACGCGACATACATTCACATTAGAGCCCGACCGATATGGGTTTTTTGGGGGCCGATACCGATATTGGGGAGTAAAAAAGGCAGATATCGATATATCGGCCGATATTCTTTGTGTATATTATAGTACAGTACCAGTCAAAAGTTTGGACACTTTCCCATTCGAGGGTCCAAACATTTGACTGGTACTATAGGCCTATATAGAATACAGTACATACATAAACAGAATATATATACATAAACACATTTTTTGCAATGATCACTCAAATGTGGTGATCAAACACTTATAATGACGTGACAGGGCATTTAACAATTTAACAATAAATTTTATTATTCAAAATGAGTCCGACATCAGTGCACTGAACAGTAAAGTTGAAGTTTATTTCACTTCTGAACATTTATTCACGGATTTGCGCTACTGTCTTCACACACAGCGAAACTTACTAGAGAAGTGTGACATAATATACCTCTGTAAATAAATACAATTTAAATTCACGTCTCGCGCACTTTAATGTCCTTTGAATGTAATGTGTATGTTCCCTTGGAACTGAAATCATGGCGGAATATCATGTGAAGTCCACTTCGCAGGGCACTTACTGTCGAATAAGACAACTCTTGAATGCTGCTGCCTGAACAAGAGACCTCCTTACTGAAGTGAAAGTGTTGACTGGTGTCACTATCTCGCGAACGCGGCGGTGGATCTCCACCAAATTCGGGGGATCCCTTCAGCTCGAGGAGCCCTCTCGAATGCCATCCACTGTGCGTCGGTAGCCCCTCGGGTTCACCAGATCGGTCGGCGCCCGACCGCGAATTTAAGCGCCCGTAACTCCCGGGCCCTGGGGGCTAGAAGCAAACAATGGAATGCACAAACATTTTATCTGCGTTTTATGTTCTGAAAAAAGATTTGCATATCGGTGGCATATTCGCTGATACCGATATATCTGCGACAGACTCATATTGGCTGATAAAATCGGCAAAACGATATATCGGTTGGGCTCTAATTCACATCAAATGTTACTCAGCGGTAGAGTTACACTCACGGGACACTGCACTTTGTAATCACAAAAGTATATTATTTGCATGTGCTTTAAAGCCTTGCCGGTTAAACATTTCATTAGCGTGCTGTTCTGACTTGCTTTTTCTGAGCGCGTACACCTGAGGCGTGCACGCTAAAAAGCCTGTCAAACAGCGCCTGATTACTGGACTAAGTTATCTTTTGTGTCTGATTGCGCTAATACTGTCAAAAACACACAAGGTTTGCAAGTGTAAACAGTTGGTTATGTCTAAAGTGAAAGTAAACAGTTGAGAGAAAAATGGATGTGTGCCTGTATAGTAGATGCGTGCAGCTCTGAAAGCGACAGCAGACTAATTGTACTAAACATGCTGCTGCTTGTTCAGCCCAAAAATTAACATTTGGGTCACATATAGTGTTTTATTTGTATATTTGTTCATTCAATTTCTTGAATGCTACTGCTAAATACACCTACTGTAAAAAGAACCTACCTGAAAAACCTACCTGAAAAAAGCACTGTCAACTCCTTATAAAATGCGGTTACAGTATTTTCCGCCATCACTGGGACCCCCCTCAACCTTGGGCCCTGGGCTTAAGTCCAGGTAAGTGTAGCGTCTGGACCAATCAGACACACAATATATATTTTGTTAGTTATATTTAACAAATACTCTGTAACACCCCTCAGTTAACAAGCCATATGAGGGCCTATGGACCCTTCCCCTGAAATGCGTCTTAACAGCTCAGAGAGGCAGAACAGACCTCTGATTCCATGGCAACCAATGCTGATATCACTAGTTTTATTGCCCAAAGGCCTGTACATTAATGTGGCCCAGCATATCACCCACCCATACTTTCGTGTGTTTTTCCCCTAACATGTACAAAAACGTATAGATCTTGTTATCTGTATGTGAGACGATGCTATAGTCGATGTGGGGGAAAGGTGTCATTATTATTATATACCAGCATGGAAACATCCACTAGACCCTTACGGAGAGAGTAAGCCACCTGGGATTCAGTCAAATCAGCAGTTCCTAGTCACACGGCCTGCTGTTTTTGTACAACACTTTCTGTTTTTGGTTTTCATTTTTTAATTTCTTGTTTTCTGTAAATTCAGTAAAATTCAGTTTAGTTCTTAAAAAAAAAAAAAAAAAAAAAGATTCCTTTTCCTTGAACTTTGTGTTTGTTGTGAAAGTCTTCACATCCCTTTGTCAGTGTAATCTCTAAGGTTTCAGGTGTAAAATCTTGTATGGAAATGACATAATTGTATAAGTTTTGAAAACAATATGTTTTGTCTGTTGTGATTAAATAGCTGTACAAAAATCCTTTTATGAAGTTTCAAGTATGAGTGTGTGTGTGTGTGTGTTTTCCTATAAATGCACAATGAAAGCACACGTTTTTAATCTTTTAATGTCATTTATACAGTTCTGTGCTTCATAGTATGTGTTTCATATTAGTTCTAAGTTTGTATGAAATGAAGCGCACTTACAGTATAGAACTTACTTTATACAGTTTGAGGTTTATTGCAAAATATATAATCTACTACTGTCAATCATATCCATCTTATAAGATTGTTATACAACTTTTCCATAAGAGATAAGTACTGGATGTGCATCTGACCTATTGTTCGATTTAGTCACTCATTGTGTGTTTAATTGTTCCTGTTTGGTAAACTAATGAGTCCTGCTGTGCTAATCCTTAATTTCTTAATGGCTTCCTTTCTTTGTCTCTCTCCTGTTTCCTGACCACTTTTCCAACTTTACCTCACCCAGACCTATTGCTCTTGGTGTTAGTTGAATTGGATTGGATATGATATAATATATTTATTGTAATATATTTATAATATATTTATAAATCTGCAAAATCAGTGCTGATAATTTAGTCATTTTAATTGCAGTTTTGTTTGTAATCTGATTATATTCCTATTAATGACTGTACAAAAATACAATATTTCCTACTTATAGCAGCACATTATTATCTAGATCGTGTACAGAAATGGACAAAATTACATTATTTTATGCTTTTAGGTTAAATAAATCAATTTAAAAATTGCAAAAAATGATCCCACATAATATAAAATCAGGATTAAAATACACCACACAATCCTAGGTGTTGCATAACAAATTATTAGGGGACAAAATATTGATATGGCAATATATCGTTGTCCTTCTTTGTGCGATAAGACAATCAATACACCGGCGCCAAATATCAATATTAATTTAATTAATAAAATAAACAGTTGCTGGTCCCCATTAACTTTGATAAAACGAAAAAAATACTGTGGAAGTCACTGGAGACAAGCAACTGTTTGGTTACCCACATTCTTTAAAATAACTTTTATGTTCAACAGAAGAAAGAAACTCGTTCAGGTTTAAAACAACTTGAGAGTGAGTAAATGATGACATTTCATTTTTGCAGAATTTTCAGCAGTTTGGACTTGAATGAAGAGAGAGAACCTGCACTTAACCTTTTGACAGGCATTCTGTTTTCAAAGTTAGACAGATACGTGATGTATCATTATAGGATTGTCTAGCAATATATCAATTATTACAGAATTGATGTATCGTGATATTATCGGTATTGTGAGCCGTGTATCGTATCATATCGTGAGGTACCCTGTGATTGTGTTTGTTTGTGAATCAATGGTTATCATTGTAGCTTATCTCTTAGTCAGAATTACTTTTCCATTGCCAAGATGTGACAGATTTATTACTTCATTATTTAATTGCCTGACCAGCCAAAGGTAAATTTTATAGTACAAGATGAGAAATAAGTGATCTATCAGTATTGTAAAAATATGAATTCACTGTTTAATAAACACATCTTTTCCAGTTTTGTGTGTATACATTTTTAATGTTCATTTTCAAAATTGTTGTTGTGAGAAGGTCTTATATGTATTCTTGTCTCTTCCTATTAGTGATCCATACGTCAAACTCTCCCTATATGTCGCTGACGAAAACCGTGAGCTTGCCTTAGTACAAACGAAAACCATCAAAAAGGTGAGTTTTATCCACACTCAGTAGCTTGTTTGTGACAATGAGGTTTAGTTTGTTTTAGGATGACTGAGTGAACTGAAAGCACACAAAGTAAAGAAGTGATGAGATAAACAGGTGATGGTTGAAGATGCTAAAGCCAGTACCACTAGGAGGAGTACTTCCATAGACCTGTGGCAGTACTGCATGGGCTTTCATAGTTATATCAGGCCTTGAATGATATGACACAACAGTTGTATCAATTATAAGAATCCAGTACCATTTGAATGTACAGTATGCAAACTACTTAAAATGCCAGTCATTATGGTTTTAAAATAAGCTTCATTTTTTTTTTTTTAAACATACTTTTCTTATATCTTTCTTTTGATTGGTAAAGACGCAGATATTTTTCTTGACATTCACTCTCACAAAGTGCTTGTGGAGGAAATGAGTGTATATAAAGTGACTGTAATGGTGTACTAAATGATACTTCACTATTTATCTGTTTGTCCTTGGAATGCACACGCAAGGTGTAACAAAGTTCGTAGTCACGGGAAGAAGGAGGCGGGAAATGGCGAACATTTAAAGAAAACTTTAAAATAAACAAACACAAAATGAAAGTAAAGCGGCAGCCCCTCGCGGACGACTGCCGCACACAAAACACAAAATAAAGTCCAGGCCTGGTCCTCTCTCGTCTAACACGGTCGTCACTCCTCCCTTTTATCCTTCCGGAGCTCCTCCGTGAGACTCGAGACCGGTGAGTGGTGCAGGTGTCGCTCATTATCAATTACTCCACCGGCCTCGCTCCGTTCACACGGCTCTCGGCCCCGCCCCCACTCGTCACACAAGGAAATAAACAACGATGCCAAGAGAAGTCACTTGTGATAACGTCACCAGAAATTAGCCATTTAAATGAGTGTTGGTGTGACATTCGTAGACCATCTTAAAGCCAAGTGCATGCTTTTTGATAAATGTTTTATAGGCCAGACAGATAATTCTTTAAAAATATGTTTTTAAGGGCAGAAAAAAAATTTGTGTTGATGCATGTATAATATTGTTCTTTAGAAAATGTAAAGCCTTTATTAATCTTAATAATTAATTTTAATTTTAACATTTACTAATACATTATTTAAAAAAAATATATGTTTATATTATTTAATGAACATGAACTACCAATGAACTTTTGTATTTTTATTAACTAATGTTAACAAAGAATAATAAATACTGTTACAAATATATTGTTTGTTGTATTAACCAATGTTAACTAATATATGGACCATATTGTAAAGTGTTACAAATATAGGAGTGAGAATAATTATTAAATATGAGAATTGGTGTATATATATATGAATAATTAAGAATTAAGGAAAAAATAATTAATTGTAATTTAATATCAAAATTAGGCTTCATTTTCTTTAAGCAAATTAAATTTTTTTTACATTAAATTTTTGGGTGAAATAACTCCCAGGCATTTTCTTGGCAGGTTTCTTTTAGACCACTGAATGAAAACTAAAAGTTTGGTCTGCCTCGCCCTCGGGCAGGCGATAAATTGATTTAGCAAGTCAGTCAGCATTTGGGTCCATTCAGTTCCATTAAGTCACTATTCAGTAAAGTCCTTACTCTGGAATCTCCTGTGCTGTGACTGCAGACTCTTCAGGTTATTAATAGCTGACAATGCACTGCTGTGTGGAACATAAGCCTCCTCGTTCCTCAGGTCTCAGACCGTGTTGATGGATGCTTTAGACGTCCTGCTTTGAAACACTGGTCTGGGAACTCAATGGCCTGTGGCACATAACAGCAAGGTTATTTTCGTAAACGAAAACTAAAACTAAGACTAAAACGATAGATGAAAAAACAATTTTGTAAACTGAAATAAAATAAAAACGTCAAAATAATTGAAAAACTAAAACGAAACTAAACTAACAACAGTTATTGAAAAATAATAATTATCAAAAATAAATAATCGTTTTCATAATCATTACGTTCTCACCCCTTGGCGGAAAAATATATGAGCTCTGTGGAGGTTTAGGGAAATAGCCTACCTGTAGGCCTAATGGCACATCACGCACATCTGACGGAGAGACGCAAAGCAGTTTAAAGCCTGCACTGGTCCTGTTTGGTAAACGTGCACCAGCAGTAGGCTACTTAACAGAACACCTGACCCATTATCTGACAGCAGCACTAATTTAATTCTATACCAGACCAGAACCGTTTGACATGAAGACCGCGAGTCGCGACCCGAACCGCACTCGCATTAAATCTGTTATTTATTGAATTTTTTATTAGTCCCAGTTTTGATTGATGCACGGCTGTTCACGGAAAAGTGAGCAAGACACCACAGTTATAATATCATGATTATGGTTAAATAAGAAACGACATATAACCAAATAAGGCTACATTTATTTTCATACTAAATCTCAACACACATCATTGGATATGACATTAAGCGCGACTTGTGTTCAAATAAAACGAATTGAAAATTCAAAACTATAATAACCTTGCATAACAGCAGAGCATTTTGTCATTATCTGAACAGAGATGTATATTTTGACCAGGCTTTCATTTAAAAGTGTAAATATACTCATTATGAGCTATACCTACATATATGGCTAATGCACTTTATACTTATTACATTTTTGTGTGTCAGAAAGGTTATTGCACTCATTATTGTTAATGGAAATGTAAGAAAAACAAAACAGGCAAGTTTTGAGTGATGTGGTCATTTTTATAAGTGCCAAAAGTTGCTAAAATTTGAGTTTATGGAATTTTACTGTAATGTAATTTTCATTAATTAACATTTTTTTGGGAATCGTTTGGGAAAAAATGAAGACCTGAGCTGTTGACTTATGATACAAATTCACGATTAAAAAAATGTTGCAGAAAGAAAAAAAATAGTGATTTGACACTAAATATACATAAAATAGATGTTTATATGTAATTGGGATGCATGCTCATCAAAAACCTTATTCTTTTTCCTTATTTAGTTACGTGCTTTGAGTTTACATAAGCATAGCTTGTGAGATGCCAGTCTAAACTGTTTTTAACTACACAACTACGTTTACAAAAGGCAATTACCTATTGTAAAACTTTGTATAGACAAAGATAAATAAGGGTGAAGTTGAGTTGCAGGCTGTGACAAGATTTTCTGTTAGTCAGGAGAAGACAACTGCATGACCCTCAACAGACATGGAGATGGATTTACTAATGGCTGTTTGGCCTTGAGTAAGAAGAAGTCTGCCTTGTCTAGGTTAAGCTTAAGGTGATGATTTGTTATCTAAGCAGGAACGTGAGAGATGCAGACTATGAAGAAAGTGGAAATGGAGGTAGATTATAGGATCTAGAATTGAGTGTCGTCGGCATAACACTGCTAAGAGAAAGTATGTGGTTTGATAACAGAGCGACAGATAATGTCAGCGGTCCCAGTCCAGAGCCCTGTGGGACTAGTAGTTGTTGGAAGGCTGTTGAGTATGTGATAGGTAGAAAATGAACCTCCAATTGACTTAATTTTAGTCGTTTTACTAAGTAGGATAAAAACCAGGCAAGCAGTTGGTGTCAGACGCAATGGGCATGTCAGGAAGAATCAAATCGGAGGAAAGAAAATGGCCCAGCCGCCATAAGTGATGCAGTCACTGCAAGGAGAGAGGATTTCAGTTCACCGGCATGATTTGCTGACTTTATACAATAAGGAGATGAGCAAAGACAAGATAAAGAACTAGAGTTGACAGGTTGATTTTGCTGATGGTATAAAATTGTAGGAATCAATTAGATTTTTTTCAGTAAATCAATTCAAAACTCTGATTTGTTCTATATATATATATATATATGGTTAAAAGTCTGTAAAGCATTTATATGCATCTATATATGGTTAAAAGGCTGAAAAATATTGAGATCGGCCTGAGCTTCCATCAGTCATTACTTTGTATTCTTCCTGTATAATTTACACCTGGGTGTGTTTCTACGCTTTAATAACCCCAAAGTATTTTCACAAGCTTTGGCACATGGTTCACAGACCAATAAATCAGATGTATTTACAGCATCTTGCATGTCTGTGTGTGTGAATCATATCAGTATATACGTGTATGTTTATGACTTGCCAATCAAGGAGTTTTTGTGCAAATGACATTTTAATGTGTTACTGTAACTTTGAGACCACATTGAGAATCTGAGATTCACAATGTAAAATTAATTAGAAATATTTAAGGTTCAGCACTATTTTGTGGTAATCCAATGCTGGATAACATGAATATGGTATTGCTATTGTCAGTTCTGCTGTCATTAACACAAAAGAGTGATATACAAGCTACTAAGAAATTCTGAAAATTTTCAGTTTTACTCGGATTATATTGGTAAAATAACTTTTAATAAACCGTATTAAAGGTTTAACAAAAATGTTAAAATGGAAAGCATTCTGTCAATCAATCTGCTATGTTGACTTAAAGATTAAGTTCTTCTTCCACTTAAAAGGATCAATGCCAGTCAAGGATCCGGTACACTCTCTCTGTCTGAATGTCAGCACCCACTCTTCTGTCTGTCTCTCTCTTCTATTTTTCTTTCTTTGTGAGCGACCGTAAAATATTTTATTCAAGTATAGTAAATATTAGCCAAGGTCTCCTGTTCTAAATTTCATTTGTGTTGTAAATCTTATCAAGTTAATGGGATACTTGTCACTGCTGTAGTTGGATGAAATGATCCAATCCACTTTCTCCATCAGAATAATTTTTTTTTAGGTACCCTACTGGCTTTCTTACTTATTTCTTAACAAGTGGGTATCATCATTTAGAATTTAATTAAGAATGTCTTTTAAATTCCAGTTTGATTCTTTGTTTCTCAATTTGATTCTCAATTTGAGTTGAGTTTTGCAAACAAGATGTAGATTTGTAATTTGGTTTTAAGGAAGAAAAATTGTTTGCAAACCGCTGTAAGTGTATATTATGTTAAGATAGTAGATCAGAACTATGCACATTATTGTTGTTGCACATGCATCACTGCCTGTATATTATTTTTATTGTTAAAATTCATTAGTTGTTTGCAGATGTAAATTATTTTAATGTGTGAGATAGATAGATAGATAGATAGACAGATAGATTCAAATATTTTTCTAGTAATCTCTTAGTCACAGACCCCCGGTTGAAGGCCCTTGCTTTATTTCCCACCTGTAAGTCAGTAAATGTGGAAATCAAAAAAAGGTTTTAAAAGGTTAGATGTTGCACATGCATCACTGCCTGTATATTATTTTTATTGTTAAAATTCATTAGTTGTTTGCAGATGTAAATTATTTTAATGTGTGAGATAGATAGATAGATAGATAGACAGATAGATTCAAATATTTTTCTAGTAATCTCTTAGTCACAGACCCCCGGTTGAAGGCCCTTGCTTTATTTCCCACCTGTAAGTCAGTAAATGTGGAAATCAAAAAAAGGTTTTAAAAGGTTAGAGAAAAAAGCTGATTTTGTAACCTTACAATGAAAAAGGACAATTTTGTATCAGTTCATTTTGTATCAGTTGTGTGAGATGAATGTAGAAACGTGTAAATGAACATGATTTTGATTCTTTTTCAGACTCTTAATCCCAAATGGAATGAGGAATTCTATTTCAGAGTAAGTTGCTTTTTCTGTTATTTATTGATTTATTTTTGTTTATCCCCAGGTAAGCCAAACCTGGCTCATGTAATTCAGAAATTCACCTGCTGTGAAAACTACAAATGATTTTGTACTTGAAGGTGCCCTACTGTAATTTTTATCTGTGATTATTCTTTATTGAATCTTAACTTTGTCCAGTGCTATTAAGAAATCAACACTTTGTGCACTGTTGTCACTATATTTCAGAATGCACAGCTGTTATTTATACCTAACGTTTCAGCACCACCACAATTGTAATAATCTATTATTAGAAGCAGCATGTAATTTTGTGATGTCAATGGCCGGTAATGTTGCTTGTGCGTAAAACGATCTAGTGAAAGATTGTGAGCTACTTCATTTAGAAGTCCATTCACACGGATGTGATTTATAGATGCTATTCTAAGCCCACAATAATGACCCCCCGTATTCATTAGAGTACCTAGATTCACCCCAGAATCAGGTTTGGCACCTGAATCTCAGAAAACAACCCTGCCAACAAAAGGATTTTACAGTAAATTGCACATTGCAAGTGCCTGCTTCGGATAATTAGCTAGCTTGCATGTGATTGTGAAATGTGTGTGTGCATGTGTATTTTTGTTTAGTAGCTATTTTTTTTTTTTATAATTGAATTTCTTCAACAGTGCTGCACAAAAACATTGCGTTCGTTCTTCTGTCATGTCTGCAGGTCTGCCCACAGAACCACAGGCTTCTTCTTGAGGTGTTTGATGAAAACCGCCTGGTAAGATCCACCTTCAGCACATGTAAATCTGCTCCAAAATCTAGTGAACTGCCTTGGTCGATTTCGAAGTTCCTGTCTACACACATTGACAATTTGTTAACTTAGCCATAGCTTTGCCACAATCAATGCATGCAAATTGAAATTTATATTAGATGTAATGTCTATCAGTGTGATCTCAGGACTAAATTCACCAGAAACTCCAGCAATGTTGGCAGATTTCAAAATGCTTATGGCAAATGTTATCGCCTTCACTTTACTGTGATTGGCTGCTGCATGGCATTTTTTTTAAATAAAGTTTGTAAAATTGAGCTTTTCTCAACTTTTTGACATTCTCACTACTTTCTCCCTGCTTTCAATCCCACAATCCCCCACGCTGATTTTGAGAATTGAAAACACTCACCTATCTCCACGGATAGTTTACATGTACCATAACTGTCATAGAACATCGAAATTGACTTATTTGGGACACTTCACATGGGCAACAACTTGCACTTGCAACTAGCAAGAATGTTGCTAAGGTAACAACACAACACTTTAAAAATACAAGACGCTTACAAATGGATAAAATACTAAATTGAGCAATTTTTGCTTTACATTTTGATATTGAATGTAATATAGCCATATAATTAACATTTTTCTTGACACTTTTTTTTGTCATTTCTGTCAGTGATACAGTGCTTTCTTAGTTTCAGCTTGTGTGTTAACTGGTGTTCCAGTTTTCACTTCCTCTCCTTATTACAAAATTTTTTGTCTGAAAATAGCTTGCACCTCTCAACTGTTCCTCCGAAAGAATCATTAGAGCAGTCTGAAAAATTATTGCAGAGAAGTTTTTATTATTTTCCGGCCCAGAAGGCCCATTGTAGATTTAGTTGTTTGACAGGCACTGATTGGTACATTATTAAATGATTTAATTGAGACAATAAAAGACATTCCACTGTTATGCAACTAATGTCAGTGCTAAAACATTCATCAGTGTCCCCATGGCAACAATGCTCAGTTGCTTTGCTTGGTATGCAGTACCAATGCTACATTCTGCTCTAGTACAAAACCATTTGCGTTTCTAATGGAGAGATGATGTGAGAACTAGTGTAGAGTTCATTTATATCAATCAGACTGACTGCAGTTAAACAGTTACTTAGTTTTGGGGCCCAATTTGCATCCTGTTTATTGTGCAGAGAGTCGTCCCTCAAGTCAGTTGTCTGAATTTAGCATAAATCCCCCAAATATGGTCTATACTAAATGCTAATGTTTTGCAAACTACAGTCATGCGTGTTATTTAAGGCATTATTAGCTGTTTACAGTGCAACTGCATCTTTTTAAACGGTGGTTCTCAACTGGTGGGTTGCAACCCACAAATAGGTTGCAATAATAGATTGTGAAAAGCAGGGGAAAAGAGTATAAATGCAAATAACAACACTTATCAACTTTCAAAAAGAAGGAGAAATTCCTCTAACTTTTTTATAATGTATGCACATTTTCATATATTTTCCTTAGATACATAGATTTGGAATTGTAATGATGTCCAGTGTAGAATCTGAGGCCTGAAGCAAAACCATTTGAGAACCACTGAGTGCATTTTGTAGTTTGGGATCTGAAGTAGAGCTGATGACTGTCAGTTAATCTCAGTAAGTATAGCGTTCAGTTTGTGACCAGGCACTGCAGTAAATCTGCGATGCATGAGTTGTTGCAGTCCACAGGGAAAAGGTTGTTGTCTCTGTCTCCTGTGTGATGGGATTTGGCAGAGTTTCAGTACAGGACTGAGCAGAGACTGAGCGTCTTCCTTATAAGTCTGAGGGAGCGCATGGATGGTGTCCCACTGACTGGACACAGATTTAATGAATGATTTTCCCGCTCTCTCGCGTACATGCTCTCTCAGTCTATTTCCATCCCTCTCTTATCTCTTTATTTTCTTCCCTGTGTCTTCTCATCCATAACCTTGTCTTTCTTTGCCTGTTTCTCCTTTTCTTACCCTCTCTCCTGCTTTTTCAGTGAGAGTGCCTGTATCATTCTACTTTCTTTTGTACAAAGCATTTAGTATCTTCGGATTGCTTAACAGCTAGCTGTAATGAACTCTCACACATAAGTTCCACTACTGATTGGTGCCTATTTTACTATGGTCCAAGCAAGACAGACAAGATAATGGGTTCTTTTTGAAGTTAAGATGTGGATCGATGGTCACGCACCACAGTTTATAGCAATTTTTGTAGATTCTTCTGAAAACCGCTGTCATGGCGACACATAACAACTCCAGAGTTGTGTGGGTGAGCGAATGTGTTGCTTGAAAACAGGCCAGTTCAAATCACCCATTTGCCATCATTCAGCCAAATGTTTGCTATTTAGGCTTATGTAATGTCGGTTTTTAAGAAATGTTCTTTATATTAGCTGAGTTAATAGTATGTGAGGTCGTCGTATGTGTAGGTAGCACTGTGGAAGCCCTCTGTCGTAATTCCCAGAATGCCTGGTGCTGTGAAACTAATGCTTGCGCCATGATGTCTCCGTTCTTTGTTCGCAGCTCACCCACTGCAGGGCATGTGTGCCCTCCAAAACAATACCCCCTTTAGAGAGCACTCTCACAATCAAGGCTTTTCTTTGAGTTGGAGTCTGTCTCACTCACTCCATGCAATAAGACACTGCACTGACTTCACGGTTTATGTCGGGCTGGTGTTGCTGCACAGACGCACTCTAAATGGTGTCGTTGCTCATTTGTGGTCATTTTTACTTCATAAAATCTAATTTACCTTTTATAGCAATCCATACTTTGAATTGATACATTTACATCATGAAGTGATCGTACTTATGATTTCTGGCTAGTAGATGATAAAACAAACAAACAAAACTGAGACTTCAGAATATTGCTCTGGTAAAGCGCAACTCAGTGTTACAAATTGTTCTGTTTATTTTTTATTATTGTAAAAAAAATCGTTTAATATGAGTTCTTTAATATAATATTCTGATGTTGGCCTTTATTCCATTAGTGATATACATGCAGTCTTTCTCACTTAGACAAAGCTCTCTTTGAGTTTGAATATGCACAGTGCAGCGTCATCTCTCTGGATTTTCACATTGGCCTTAGTAACTTGTTCAGCCTGTCAGCAGTCTGCTTCAAATCGATTATGATATTTGCATGTCTGTTGGCAGAGGGTTCCGTATACTGATCTAAACATTCAGATTTTGCGGATTGTGTTTGTGGAGCAAAAGCAAATGCCAGCACAAAAACTTACCGTTATTCACCCCAAACAGATTTTATGAAGCATTTAGCACAGACTTGTGGCTTATACATTATAAATGTGGCTGTCAGTCATCAGTGATTGATCATATTTCCAGTCATTTTGAGGAAAACACATTATAATTATTTTGTTTTTCAAATTACCCACGAGTTAAGATAAGTTGTGCAAAGTAAAGTAAATTGCTTTGTTGCTTTTGTTTTAGGAGTGGTCATGATTGAAGATTTTATTTCTCTCTACTTCTTATGAAATGGCCCCTAGGCTGCACCCTGATTCATTGTTACTGTGTTGAAAGAGAGTGACTGTTTTGAGGTTTAAAACTTCCCTTGAGTATTTAAAAAAAAAATGGAGACGGAACATTTCAGCCATGCCAGCCCTTAAGAAGCTTGGTGGGAAATATTGCATGTCTATACAGAGGCCCAAACATGAAAAGCTCTAGTGTTTTTCCAGTAAATGGACATTTCCTGTGTATTTCTTAGAAAATGTCTCTAACGATAGTGGTAAACCTCTAATACTTCTGATTACTCATACAGGTCTGAGTGATGAGGTTGTGTGTGACTTGTTTTTGTTTTGTCTGATATTTTTGGCAGTAAGTAATTCTAAATACTTCTTTTACCAGCTTGAGATGTGGGTAACACCATGTCCCAATTTGGCTTGGCCCAGGGTGCCCTGTGTGTGGGATGAGCACAAAGAATTATGAACTTGTGGAGAGTGTTTCCTGAGTCAGCTGTGATCCCTCTCTCTCTCATCCCACCCCCGGCAGTCTAGTTCCTTCTGACAGATCAGTAGCAGCTGAGAGAGTGCTGTTTGGGTCTAACCGGGACGTGGGGGTGGGTGCCATCTGGATCATGTGACTTTGGCCACCCTACCCTCACCTTTGCTTGCAAGAGCACCAGGCGTCCTTATCCAATCATGCCTGGAATGCAGCTTGCCACTTGGGCTATTTCTGCTGTCTGTCGCTATCAGACTTCAACTCAAACACTTTGACACATGGGATAGTTTTTTTTTTCATTTTCCCATCTCTCCCGTTCTTTCCAGCTTTTACTTGCGCGCTCTCTCTTTCTCTCCTTGAAGTTTGTGGGTTGAACTTTTAAGCTCCCTGGCAGTGCTTCACTGGTAGCTGTGAAACGAAACGCAGCCTCTGTCTGAGTAAGGGAAAGAGAGAGAAAGAAAGGAAAGAGGGTGGATGAGCAAGACGGAGAGGGGGAGAGCAAAAGGGGATCAGACACACTAAACAGTGGGTGAGACAGATCCAGCAAGAGCTGGACAGAGACAGATCAAGGCAGACAGGAGAATGTCTCACCGGCTTCGGGAGAAATTCCTCCAGTTTTTTATGCATTCATATATTTTCCTTATGCAGATTTGGTACTGTGATGATGCCCAATGTAGAATGCGAAGCCTGAAGCAAAACCAGTTGAGAACTACTGAGTACATTTAGTAGTTTGAAATGTGAAGTAGAGCTGATGACAGTTCGATAGTTCACTCAAAAATGAAAATTACCATGATTTACTCACCCTCAAGCCATCCTAGATATATATTATTACTTCTTTCAGACAAATACAATCTGAGTTATATTAAAAAATGCCACTCTCGTTAACGCGCGAATGACAGTTGGCGGAATCTAGAGATTACGATTCATAAAGTTTTAAATATGGATCTTTTTCTTACACAAACATATCGCTACACTTCAGAAGGCCTTTATTAACCCCCCCGGAGCCTGTGGAGTACTTTTTTATGATGCATGGATGCACTTTTTTTGGGCTTCAAAATCTCGAC